GTATTTTTATGTATTGTTTTTGGTTTGATAACTTTGAACTAAACAGATTTTCTATTAGCTTCAGATCTTGATCAAAGTTAGGCACCCAGTTCATAGGAGTGCTTATATTGATTTTCTGACATCTTGTTTTCTGTAAAGATTTTATTGGTAGGTTTGCAAATGTGTATCAGACTGTGCAATCTCTCCATGAGTTGGTTTTGAAACCCAGTATGGGATTCTGAGATACATTACCAAGGATATTATTACAAGATAAATCATTTGCTTCATTGAACACATACAACAATGCATATTTCCACTGAGATCAGTGACCTTTGATGTGTATCACCAGTGATCAGTCAAGTAGAAACAGTCAAAATATTTTATCAGATTTTCTCAATTTTTGCATGATATTTTCATACAGGACATCTGTTGTTCAAACTCAGGGAAGACTTTATACTGATGAATAAGGTGACCAAGTTTGATAAAGTTTGGAATAGAAGTAGTAAAGTTATTATGCACACAATAACAATTATTAACGACGACGACGCCGCCGCCACCGCCGCCGATGACAACGCCGGACAAAATTTTTCCCTTAATATACCTTTCCCTTCCATCTTTGATGGTACGGGCAAGGTAATAAAATAAATGCGATATTTACTATATGGGGGCCACCATCTTGAATGACACATAAAACTAAATAAGAGACAAGTTGTGAAACACGTTTTTCAGATTCCTATAAATCAGGACAAAAATACCAATGTTCACAAAAATACGTTCTGTTGGGGTTATTAAGCCAACCGATAACAAAATTCGGCCGAATTCGGTGTTTTTGTGTGGAAAATTCCCTTGCATACGAACACCTAATTACACGAAGAACCTAGAACACTTTCTTGGGGTATTTGAAACTAAAAATTGGCATTCCAGCTCAACAGCCAATCAGCGACAGCCTTACACTTAGATGACAATTTTGGTTTCAAATACCCCGGCTGACTGATTTGAATATAACAAGTTATGAGGTGGACCTACACTTAGGTTTGCTTGGCATGCAATTTGACACAGACACAAGCCACAAAGATGCAGTGCATAAAATCACATGTTTAATGAAGTTCATACAGTTACATAGGTCAATAATTAAGTTTTGATGACATAATGACACATTCTAAAATACTATCCAATAATTAGGAGTGACACCATATTTTGGCATCATTTGATACATTTCATTTCAGTAAGAATAATATTTTGTATAGTAGGAATTGAGTTGCAAATATCCAAACTCATACCCTTCAGTAACAAAGCAATTTTGTGATGTGACAATAATACAGATGGATGTAAATAATGTCTGCAACTCAGTTCACTTGTGTTCACAGTACTTTTTATTGATAACCACAGATGAACAGTCTCAGAGGCCTTTTGTTAAGAAGTGTGCTAGACTAGACTGATTTGTTTTTCTTAAATCATGGTCCGACGCAAAATTACTGAAACTGGTTGATTCTGCAGCTTATTCATTGCTATTAATTATTCATGATATGCAGTGACGTTATGGAACCTGGAAAAGAGGAAAGTAGGCATGCACTTGCACAAAATGTGTCAGGCCACGTGTGTCCTATACATGTAGTTCCTCAGAACAGATCAAACCAAACCTTTCTTGTTGGTTGACAGCTTACAAGTCATGCTACTCATTAGCATATTTATCACCACAAAAACTATAGAGGGCGTGGCAGGACAGAACAGTCGTGGTAATTTCATGTCAACGCAGAAGATTCTACAAACTCATTCTAAAGGAATTAGATTATAAAACAATAAAATTGCCACGACTGGACCAGTCTAAGGTGTGTCTGTAAAGTACAGTGTATGGATGGATCTTGCAAGACTGTACATAATAGAAATGAGGAATATAACTTCAGGAATAAAATAACTCTGGTAACTGTATATGTCAACACTGGCACAAGCAAATAGTACATGCAAATTGTGGCCTGGCACAAAAGTATTTAAAAAAAAACTATATTCTGAGAAGTAATAACTGTTGCATGCTGAGTTGATAGTAGCATGGATATCTTGAAATTATATTATTTTGATTTAAACATCTGTGAAGTTTTTGTAGTTTATTTTATTCCATCTGGTTAATGTCAGTATTCACTAAATACTTATTGCATCAAAGTTGCAGATTAAACACAATGAATTTTAATGACTACAATATTGCTTAAAAAACTATTCCATCAAGTGCCATGTCAGTTTCAGTAAATATGGAGATGTGCCTTCTGTCAATACACAGATTTATGTATAATCACTATATTGAAATGATAATTGTATTATTATTGCCAATGATTGCTATCTTACACCACAATGGTTCTAGTATAATACAAGTAATCTTTGAAAACCACTTACATAAAAACAGATCCAATATCACTAAAATATCCTGTATTACTATAGTTATCTACATTGTACATTATTTATAGTCCTGAAATAGATATTGCGGAATTGATCACACTATTCAAATACAAGTCATTTAATTATTTTATATACTATATATGTAATGTAATTGATTCACTCTACATTCCTTCCTTTAACTTGAAAACACTCCAAAAGTGTACTATATTTTTCACTATACAAAAAACATATGAATGCAATTTAAAAAATAAAGAATGTTCATTTCTACATAAAATATGCAAAAGATTGCGTGGATTGTCAAAATGAGACCACAGATTAATTGAAACTATAATTTTCAGGACCATCATAACCACTCAAGTTATCTTCCATTCCTTTATTAACATTTTTATCCCCACCTTTATTTCTTGTCCCAATATATTGACCACCAGGGCCCTTTCCTCCCAATTTTGATCCCATATATTGACCACCAGGCCCCTTTCCACCCATATATTGACCACCAGGCCCCTTTCCACCCCTATATTGACCACCAGACCCCTTTCCACCCTGCTTCCCTCCTACGTTTCCTTTGTTGACACCTTTCTTTGCTTTGCTTCCAAGACTGTAAACTGTAGCATTACCCATTAGGGAATCAACTGTTACTTTAGATTGTGTACTGGCGTTTGTGGTTGGTGTAGGACTATCTATACGTCCAGGCGCTCCTCTACTTTTACCAGATGGACTGGGACTTCGACTTCGACCTGAAAATACACATACATCTTAGATACATTCTGAACTAGTTACTATGACAATGATAGTGTGTGTGTTAAACATGACGACTTTCAGATATGCACAGATAACAATTAATATTCTCAAAATGCAAAGCATTTATTTTATGCTCTATTGTGAACAATTAAAGTATACACATTATTATCTGAGACATAAAATCATAGTCAATTTATGATCATGGTATTTTAATTTTTCCACAGAAGAAAGCATTAACATGCTTTGTAGCAAACAACATCAATTTTTAGCTGATTTACCACTTCAACAAAAGTAAAATAAAAAGACAAATAGAATAAAGTTTGGCTAGACAGTAATTGTCTAATATGACAACATAATACATTTAAAGTTAGAATTTTGAATTTATAAATTCCAGACTTAAATTACCAAAATCAAGGATGGCAAAGATGTGATTTAGATTACATCTATTCAGATTGACATTTATTGAGACTATAATAGTTGAGTAGACAGTTTGTCTTGGTCAACTTTAGAGCCCCCCCCCCCCCTATTTCATTTCATTTCATTAAAAGGCAATGATGACATCATTATCACAGGCAAGTTGTACATTTTGTACTTACCACCAATTCTAACACATTCTTCTTTATGTCTAGCATTCCATGCTTTCAACTTACAAGCTTTGCTGCAATAATACACTTCCTTACACCTTGTACAAGCAGACAGCCTTACACCAATGGAACGACCACATTCATAACAGTATTTGAACAATGGTTTCCTAGTAACAAAATTTATAATATATAATTATTAACAGTTTATCAATGAAAATAAATTGTATTTTAAAACAATTTAGTGAATATTACTGAAATTATAGTATAATATGTTATTGATATAGTAACTCTCAGTGATTGGATATACAGATTTATTATGTGTGTGCATTTATTTTCTTGAAAAATAGAATGAAAATTATATTTGTAAAATATTCTGATTTAATGTTGTACAGGAACATAAAACTATTTAGATCTCTATCTCCTAGTATAGGGATATCCCATGAAACAACATACATCAAAGTATAGTGACTCATAACAGTAAGTAATATGAACAACTTGCACTACACAGACAACATATACAATGTATGTAGCATACAAGCAATAATTCAATGAGAAGAAGTTTAGTTTATTAAGACTTGATCCACAACCGATATGCTGTAAATCATATGTGGTTTTAAAACAAAATATTCAATAGTAGCAAATAAAATGTTAATAATAATCTGTTGATAAAGATAAATGACAACTATACATACTATTATTAATTGAGATATGATGAATTGAAAATCCACATCACAACATGACCTAGATGAGCAAATAGTTAATGAGGTCACCTAAATTACCTCCGAGAATTAGTCTGGATATTTAATGCTGCCATAACACAGTGGTTCAATATGTATTTATGTCAATGTGGCATTTTTAAAACATCAATATATTTATCTGTAGTTTGATATATTTAAAACCATAATTAACACATTGCATGCTACAAACTTGTACACACCTAGGAAGGTGCCACAGATGCTATAGTTTTAATATCTGTGATGAACAGTAATAATCAGACAAAATAAACTTGATGCATAACAACTAAGCTCACAAAAATGTGAATATTAAACATCAATATTATAACAATTAAGCAATACAGATGAAAGTATCTGATATTTTTAGAAAAAAGACACAAAGTGATAAGAAAAAATATGTTGCACACACTATATGTCCAAATGTCACATTTATTACAAGATTTTAGCAAATAGATAGCGTTGTATAATACAAAAACAAAAAAACAGTGGTACATGAGATAGAAAAACAAACAAGGAATTAATTGTCATTGAAAATATGATTGATAGACAAGGTACCTGCACTTCTGTGATGAGTTTTGTCAAAATCACAAAACTCAAATCAAACTAGCCAGGTAGTAATAGTAAACACTATGTCTTAAATTACCCCAGAGCATTTGAAATGCAATAATTGGTTAAGATATTGGTGACAGAGTCGAACAAGCAAGTGAAAAAAAAAATTCAATAGAACAAGCGCAAGCAAATGAGAATCATTTTTGTTGTGGAAAAATGACAGCCAGGAACAACATTCTTTGGTTAAAGTGACTGTCCTGAATTATAAATAAAATAAAAATGTCAATAGGAATGATACCAACATCTATGTATAAACACAGACAATAGGATGAAGCCACACGGTTTATTATATGTGTTGGCCATTATTTGAGAGAGTCAATAAATTAAATGAAGATGGCCAACCTGATGGAGTGTTTTCCTTTGCCCATTAGACTATGTAAAGCCGACTGGCTGAGTTTGGTTTCTTCTAAATTAACAGTGATAACATTTGTCTTCGGCAACTTTCTATGGTAAGTCATTATACAATATTGAAGCAATTGAAAATTATTTAGCAAATTAAAACAATTTTAACAAAATAGCATGCAATAACCAATTAATTCAAAGCCACCAATCCAAAATTGAGCTAAAAGAGCAAATTAATAACTATAAATTAGCAAAACTGTGCATGCATTAAAAACTACACTAAGGATGTAAAGTAGGGTGTTGATAATTTATGTAGGATGGTGATCCAGTAGTGTGTCAGATAACAATTGTGATCTTGTTTAACAAGGTTTCAATAATGCCTTTCTCTTTACCCATAATGCACCAGTGTGATATTTGTTCAGATTTATTGCCACCTATTTTTTTTTTTTGCTATGCAACGTGACTGTTGCTATC